GTGTGTGTGTGAGAGAGAGTGTGTGTGTGTGTGTGTGTGTGTGAGAGAGAGTGTGTGTGTGTGTGTGTGTGTGTGTATATGTGAGTGTGTGTGTGTCGTTGAAAACTCTCTGTTGTAGGCTGTGCTCTCTTTTCATATGCATGCTTTGGCAATGCAAAATGTGCTTTTGTCATGTCAATAAAGCTGTCTGGATTGAACTGAACTGAATTGAACTGAATTGAGAGAGAGACGATCAGTGAAGTGTTAACGACCGCAGCATTGATTATTCATGAGGTGAAGTGTGAGATTGTTTTCTCTTTAGAAAGACTTGCAGCTAATTAGATTATTCATCTGAACAAACCTGAGAAAACTCTTGAGCTGGTCTAGAGGTTTTATCAAAAACAAGGGATTTTATTCCTAAAAATAAGACTAGAATGAATAAACAAACAGCACAGAGGACCAAGTATCTGCAAATCTGAATATCACACATCAAAAATCCAGAACTGAAGTTTTATAAACTCACTCAATTGTGTAAGTTTACACTCAGTTCAGACTTACAGAAGTGTTAGACTGAAGATCGAAGCGTCTCAGAGACTCATTCAGATTCCCATCATTCACCACAGCACTGAGGCACAGCGGGGCTAGTTGTCACACCTCTCAACATTTCTCAGAGTGGGTTTATGTTTACAGTCAGTTTATGTATAGACACTAAAAATGTATTTCCACCATCAGGAAAAAAAACAACTCAGCAGATATTGCAGAAACAGTCGTGTCTGGATGAAATAGATGAATATTTCCTCCAAATCATGGCATTTTATGCCTGCAAATACAGATTAATCAAAAGTCAAAAGAATAGAGAACGCTAGTGTTATAGGGTTGTTTTTATAAATGAAAAGAAAACAAATAGACTGAATAGAAAAAGAATACAGAGTGCTAGTGTTAGAGGGTTCATTGTTTTGTTGTTGTTATGTTTTGTTTTTAAATAAAAAGAAAACAAGTAGATAAAATAGAAATAGTATAGAGGTGCAAGCATTAGAGGGTCAGGTTTTTTTAAATAAATAAATAAAAAAGAAAACAAATAGATAAAATAGAATAGAGAGTGCAAATGTTAGACAGTCAAGTTTAAAAAAAACAACAAATAAATAAAAAGAAAACAAGCATATAAAATAGAAATAGAATAGAGAGTGTGTTATGATGGAGGCAAGGGCGAGATGAGGCGAGGATCTGAATGCAGCAAAAGTTTATTAAAGAAAAACAAAGATAATCGAGACAGAGAGCAGGAATGAAAACAGCAAAAACAACGACTCACAGCGGCTGCCTAAAACACAACTCATATCCAGAACACCAAACTAGTGAATGACACACAGGTGGAAGACATTAGATCATAATAGCCGCTTTTCCACGATTTATTTTTCACGTCAAGACTTGCGTCCTTTTTTCTGTTATTGAAAGAAGTAAATATCAGATAAAAAAGGAGTCCCAAAAACAGAAATATCTGATCATCGTCCATATCGCTGTTTATATTACACTTGCGTTACCAAGGCAACGACTGATGCATTTGTATTGCATTCCAAAGAGCTCCGTTCAGCACCACAGTGGAAGATGAACCCGTAGCCGTGCTGACTGGCCCCGGATCGGCACGGAATGGAACGGTTAAGCAAAGAGAACCGTTCGGCCCGATAGTGGAAAAGCTGCTAATGAGTCCAAGCAAAGGATAATGGGGAATGTAGTCCATTACATAATGCTAAAGGACTTGGGAGGAGTGCCCTCTGGAGGAGCTCATGGGCACTGACAGTGCAAGTGATAGGCTTAAAAAAAAAAAAAAAAAAAAGGACAAGAAAACAAATAGATAAAATAGAAATAGAATATAGAATGCAAGTGTTAGAGGGTCAAGTTATTTTTTAAATACATAAATAGAAAACAAGTAGATAAAATAGAAATATAATATGGAATTCAAGTGTTAGAGGCTCAAGTTTAAAAAAAAAAGAAAAAGAAAACAAGTAGATAAAATAGAAATAGAATATAGATTGCTAGTGTTAGAGGGTAAAGTTAAAAAGAAAAGAAAAAGAAAACAAGTAGATAAAATAGAAATATAATATAGAATGCAAATGTTAGAGGGTAAAGTCAAGTCAAGTCACCTTTATTTATATAGCGCTTTTAACAATACAGATTGTGTCAAAGCAACTGAACAGCATTAATTAGGAAAATAGTGTGTCAATAATGCAGAAGGACAATAGTAAACACAGTTAAAAAATAAAATAAAAAGAAAACAAGTAGATGAAATAGAAATAGAATAGATAGTTTAAGTGTTAGAGGGTCAAGTTTAAAAAAAAAAAATAAATAGAAAAGAAAACAAATATATAAAATAGAAATAGAATAGAGAGTTTAAGTGTTAGAGGGTCAAGTTTAAAAAAAAAAAATAAATAGAAAAGAAAACAAATATATAAAATAGAAATAGAATAGAGAGTTTAAGTGTTAGAGGGTCAAGTTTAAAAAAAAAAAATAAATAGAAAAGAAAACAAATATATAAAATAGAAATAGAATAGAGAGTTTAAGTGTTAGAGGGTCAAGTTTAAAAAAAAAAAATAAATAGAAAAGAAAACAAATATATAAAATAGAAATAGAATAGAGAGTTTAAGTGTTAGAGGGTCAAGTTTAAAAAAAAAAAATAAATAGAAAAGAAAACAAATATATAAAATAGAAATAGAATAGAGAGTTTAAGTGTTAGAGGGTCAAGTTTTTAAAAATAAATAAATAGAAAAGAAAACAAATAGATAAAATAGAAATAGAATAGAGGAGTGCAAGTGTTAGAGGGTCAAGTAAAAAAAACAAATAGAAAAGAAAACAAATAGATAAAATAGAAATACAGTAGAGAATGCAAGTGTTAGAGGCTCAAGTTTAAAAAAAAGAAAAAGAAAACAAGTAGATAAAATAGAAATAGAATAGAGAGTGCAAGTGTTAGAGGGTCAAGTAAAAAATAAATAAATAAATAAATAAATAAATAGAAAAGAAAACAAGTAGATAAAATAGAAATAGAATAGAGAGTTTAAGTGTTAGAGGGTCAAGTTTTTAATAAATAAATAAATAAATAAATAAATAGAAAAGAAAACAAATAGATAAAATAGAAATAGAATAGAGAGTGCAAGTGTTAGAGGGTCAAGTGTAGATTTAGACCAGAAAGCCGAGTCTCTGATGAAAGTCTGTATCTCATCTGAACTAGAGCTGAGTAGTGTATAGAGCCTGCAGATCTACTCAGTTCTACTCTGTTCTTTATTCTTTACTGAACTGTGGCTCTTCTTGTTTTGGCTTTAGTGTTTAGAAGTGTCATCTTAGGTTTTGATACAGTCTCGCTTCTGTACAGTAGATGCCAGTGTGTTTTCATATTACAATTACAGCGATTCAATGACGTCATGCTTCAGCTTCGGTATTCTGTAGC